GTAGGGGAAAAAATTCATAAGTGGTTTTTTTAAAAAAAAATGTGTAATTCAGGGAGACATCAAAATGGCAGAATAGACAGTTCCCAGTGTCACTCTCTCCCATAGCCAGTCAATTTACAGCTCTTAAAAAGCAAAGACCGACAGACAGGGACCACAGGAGCTCAGGGGAAGAGGAGAAGAGTCCTGTGGAGTTTGTGAAGGAGGATAAACTTTGGTACAAGAGAAGGGAACACTCTGACCATTTCAAGCCCTGGCTGCTTCAGCTCCAGCCCACGGCAAGGGGGTAGAAGTTGTAGCACATGGAGCAGGAGCTGATAAAAGCCATAGCTGTGCCCTTTGCATGAAGTTGCTTGGAGTCTGCAGGAGAGAAGGGGAATGTCAGAGCACAACATACCAGCGCTCAGGCCAGTGACACCATTGACAGGGTTCCTGTGGACCCACGTTAGAAGCAAGGGGCTGCAGTTGACCAAAGATAGGAGCTATACAAAGGCCGGTGAGTCATCTGGAGGGACCAGAGCATGGCTCGCCCCATGGGAAGCATGTGGAGTGCAGGGGGGAGGCTGGCCTGCCAGGGGAACTTGGGATGCAAAGTGGGCAGCTGATCTGCCTTCCAATTGGTACAGGCCTACTCAGTGGAGACTGATCAGGACAATAGAACTGTATAGGGTACAGTTTGCTGGAAAGACTCAGTCCCAGGCCAGAATATCCACACAGTCCAGGTGTATCTGACGTCACAAAACTCAGAAGTGATTAAAAGGCCAACAATTAAAACCTGAGCCACACAAAAAAGCCCTCCCCACATAGTCAGCAGCAAATCAGCAATTTAGCTCAACCACAGAGTTCAAGTGCTAGTCCCCACAGGAAGTTCCACCAATTTTGGAATTAACCAAAGGACAACAAATTCATTCTAGTGCAGAAATTAGAGGGTGGCAATAGATAATAATCCAGTACAGAACTGGGGAAAAAAAAAAAAAATCACAGACCAGAAACAAACCTCTGATATTAACCAGTAAAGGTTTAACACCACTAAAAAACACCTATAAACCATAGAATAGGTAGCAGTCTCCTCAAATGCCCAGGCATCAACATAAAGACACAGAGACTGAAAAAGATTGAAAAAGAACAATGACACCATGAAAGTAAACAAACCAAACAACAGCAGTGGACCCAGAGGAAACAGCAGATTTATGAAATACCTGTCAGAATAACCCTCTTAAGGATGTTCAGGGAGTCACAAGAAAATACAAATAGAAAATTAAATGATATCTGGAAAACAGTCCAGGAGCAGAATGATAAACTTGACAAAGGAATTGGATCAATTTTACAAAACCAAATAGGAATTCTAGAAATAAAGAATATATTATCTGAACTGAAAAACTTGATAGAAAGCTCCAACAGCAGCCTTAAACCAAGGAAAGAATCAGTGAGCTTGAAGGTAACACATGAAATTATCAAACCAGAGGAGCAAAAAGAAAAAAGAAAGAAAAATGAAGTAGAAATACAGCAAATATGGGACTCCCTCAAGCAAAATAACCTCCACATAATTGGCATATACAAAGAAGAAGAAAAAGGAAGAGATATAGAAAGCATATTCAAGGAGTTAAAGGCTGAAAATTTCCCAAGTGTGGAGAAAGATGACAGCATCCAGGGACAGGAAGCTCAGAGGTCACCAATGAAATTCAAGGAGGAACAACCCAAGGCACATCATAATCAAATTATCATAAACCAAAGACAAAGCTCTGAACACAGCTAGAGAAAAGAAACACAGCATTCAATGGAGCCCCTGTACATCTCTCAGCAGATTTCTCAGTAGAAACACTACAGGCCAGAAGAGAATGGGATGATGTATTCAGAGTGCTGCAAGAAAAAGACTGTCAGCCAGGAGGAGTTCTCTGTCCAGCAAAACTAATCTTCAAATAAAAAGGAAAAATAAAGTCTCTCAGACAAGCAAAAGTTATGGGAATTCACCAACACTAGACCTGCCTTACAAGAAATGCTGAAGGGAGTTCTTCAGTCTGAAAGAAGACTATGCTAAGAAGCAGCAAGAAAACATTTGAAGGTACATAATTCATTAGTAAAGTAAGTTCACAGACAACATCAGAATACTTCAGTGTCATAAGGGTGGTGAATAAACCACTTACATCCTTAGTATGAAGACTAAAGGGTAAACCTACCAAGACAACAAATACAACAATCATATAAGAAACAGGCAATATTAAAAGATATAACTTGAAACAACAAAAAGTCAAAAAGTGGGGAGGAATGGTGCCAAAGCGTAAAGTTGGCTGTGGTTCTTTCTTTTTTTCTCAGATATAAAAGTTATTGGCCTAAAATAGTCTGTTATAACTATAGCATGTTTTTTGTAAGCCTCATGGTGACCATAACACAAAAACTTAAAAAAGACATACTAAAAATAAATAGTGAGAAATCAAAGCAAGTCAGTCACAGAAAGACAAATACCGCATGTTCTGGACAAAAACTAAAGGCTGGGAGGGTGGGGGTAGCAGGTGACAGGTACAAAACTACCATAAGTGAATCATTGTGCAGTATATGCATGTATTGAAACAACACATTGTACCCCACAAAAATAAATATCAATAAAATTGAAATTTAAAAAAACCCTAAAAACAAATGGCAGAAAGTATGCTTACCCAAGATACCAGACAAAGCTGTTGATAGTTTCTCAATAAACACTGAATTGAATTGAAAGGCACTTTATTTTATTTTTATTTTTTTTTGGTGGCTGGCCAGTTTAGGGATCTGAACCCGTTACCTTGGTATCACAAGGCTGCACTCTAACCAACTGAGCTAAGTGGCTAGCTGAAAGGTACTTCTTAGTTGTAGTATATCTTACAATATTTAGGAAAATAACTAATTGAAGATCTAAACCTTTGAAAAATGCCAGAGTATATTCATATCTTTGTCAAAAATATTTTAGAATAAGTGGTCTGGGTAGCTTAAACACCCAATAAGTGTCCACGGATTTAATTAAAGTTTAAATCACTTGTTAGCAAGATTTGTTTCAGTATATTTTAAGAAAAATATCCACTGTCTGAAATAACTAAACATTATTTCCTCAAAAAGAAGAACATACTTAGCACACATTGAACTTAATAAAAGGTGAAGTACAAATTTCCTTGAAAAAAAAAAATCTGTAATTCAGTTAGAGCAAGTGAATCAGTGCATACCTTGCTCAGAAAATCTGAATCTGAAAAATCATTCTGCAAAGGAAGAATTAGAAAGAGCTTTCTTTTTTGAGGATAGAAATGGATTGTTAAATTAGTATCTTAGCTTATTGTTTGATTCTGTCCTTTCATGTTTTGATGAAATTTTCTCAGTAAACTTCGGGAATATTTTTAACTTTTCATTTTAAACTAATTTCAGACTTTTGAAAAGTTACAAAAACTATAGAGAGTCCCTGTATACCCTTCGCCCAGCTTCCTTCAATGTTAACATCTTACATAACCATAATGTAATTATCAAACCAGGAAATTAGCATTGATACAATACTACTAACTAAACTTCAGTTTTTACCAATGTCCATTTCCTGTTCTAGGAAGCTATCCAGGGTCCCACATTGCATTTAATTGTTATTTCTTCTTAGTTTCCTCCATTCTCTTCCTCAGTCTTATCTTTACTTTCATTTTCTTCATACTTTTGAAGAGTTTCAATCAATTATTTTGCATAATGTTCCTCAGTTTGGGTTTGTATGATGCTTTCTCGTTATTTGACTGAAGTTATGCATTTTTGGCAAGAATACCACAGAAATGATCTTGTGTTGTTTATTCATCCTTTCAGAGGTTCATGATATGTCTCATTACTGGTAATGAGCTTTAGAAATCTTGATGATGGGGCCGGCCCAGTGGCGCACTGCTACAGTGAGCCACTTGAGAGCGCGGCGGCGCTCCCGCCGAGGGGTCGGAGCCCACCTACAGACCGGCCACTCACTGGCTGAGCGAGGGGCGGGGGCAACACCGAGGGTTGCGATCCCATTGCCAGTCACGAAAAAAAGACAAAAAGGAAAAAAAAAAAAAAAATCTTGATGATGGAAACTATAATGTTTTTTATATAACATATATTAAAATTACTGTAAAATATCAATCATCAAAACTTTTCCCTGTGATGCAAATAATCTCTCAAACACAAAAACAGTGATTAAAGAAATCCAAAAGCATCACTAGTTAGTTAATGGGATGATTGTTCAATAATGAGAAAGAGAAACAACCTTTTTCTCTCAAATAAGGCAATTCTTTTTTCATTGGAAAGTTAAGAAAGGAATTATCAAGAGAGGAGTCTTCCCAGCTAATAAAATTGTCTTTGTAATAGAAGATTGTCTTGGTTGAGATACTTAACTCTAGGTAATTTATCAAGTAGAACATTAAATGAGGAAAAAGATGATTGATTTAGTCTTGCATATGTGACACTGGAATTAAGTCATGAAAACCAATTTCTATGCCTAGCCTATTAGATGAAATCAACTTGTTGCAGCAAATTTTTATATTTTTTTTGTATTTAAAAATTCTGAATACAATGGAATAATCAACAATTTCAAAAGAAATACTACATTACATGTCCCAAACTTTATTTTGACATTTAAGTATCCTCGCATTTTTTATTAAGAAATGAAATTGTATTTCAGGCTTTGATACTCTTAAAAAATATACTACATTGTTAGGTTTTGTTTCTAGATGTTTTTCAGGATATAATGTTTATTCCTCAAAAAAGAATGGATAGAAACTCTTCTGCAGATACCTGTATCTGTCATAATGAAGGTGGGAACTATTCCACCGTAAACCTACTGCTTCGGTACTTTTTATATTTCTTCATTTGCCACGTTTTCTTCACTAAGAACACTTCAATGAAGTATTTGTGTTTTTATTATTTTGGGGTTGTTGTTGAAAACATTCTTAGACTATAAACTCTGTAATAGAACTGAGTACTGCTATCCCTTTACACTAACAGCATTCAGTTTAATGAATAGAATTGTCTATTTATTTTAGTTCAGCAATCAGCAAACACTGGGAGGCTGAACTGGCTACCCTTAAAGGAAATAATGCCAAACTCACTGCAGCCCTGTTGGAATCCACTGCCAATGTGAAACAATGGAAACAGCAACTTGCTGCATATCAAGAGGAAGCAGAACGTCTGCACAAGCGGGTAAGTTCAGGGCTGCTATCCATAAGGACTTAGGGCTAACAAGTTCCCTTGAACAGAGGAAATTTGCATGTAAATTCAGCACAGGGACATGTTCTGGGTATATTTGTTGGCTGTCAGAACATATGTATGGGTTATATCATGTGGGTTTGTTTGGTTAAGAAAAATATTTTCCACAGTTTAATGAGAATGAAGAATATACAGCTTTTGAAGTAAAAAGACCTGGTTGCAAATTTCATTTCTGCCACTTATTAGCTGTATGACCTTTGGTAAGTTATTTACCTCTTTCAGTTAAGTATTCGCATGTATACAATAGGAATAATATATACTCTACAATACCTGTGAAAATTAATTGAGACACATAAGTGGCATGTAGTTGCACAGACTCAGTGAATTGCAATGAGTCAATGAGTTGTTTTTATTATTTTTATTATTGTTTTGTTTTAAGAAGGAACAATTTGAGAAATACAGGTAGAACAATTTTTATAAAAGTTGTTAATATTAGGGGCTGGCCCGTGTCTCACTTGGGAGGATGTGGTGCTGATAACACCAAGGCCAAGGGTTCAGATCCCTATATAGGGATGGCTGGTTTGCTCACTTGGGAGAGCTTGGTGCTGATAACACCAAGTTAAGGGTTAAGATCCCCTTACCGGTCATCTTTTTTTTAAAAAAAAGTTATTAATATTAGAGATTTGGGGCAGAAAAAGAAAATCAGAAATCTCAATACCATTAGTACCAGAAGTCTAAACTATTACTTACAAAGAATTTTTAAAATTTAATCCATAGAAGTACATTTACCCAACAGGAAGCTGATGCCACTAATTTTTCTTTTTCAAAAGGATGCCAAAGAAATGAATTCCATAGACATTAAAAATGGGCTTAGTAACAGGGCACAATTTGAGGAATGTAATAGGACCAGAATGACAGGGGAAGTAAGATAGAAACAGAAAAGAGATAAGGAGATAGAGAGAGAATGCTGAGTAAATATCATTCTACCCTATGTATAAAAATAACTTATGAGGGTGGAGGGGGAAAAGGGAAGTTGTTTAATGGGTATAGACTTTGTTTTGCAAGATGAAAAAGTTCTGGAGATCTGTTTCACAACAATGTGAATATGCTTAACTACTGAACTGTACACTTAAAAATGATTAAGATGATAAATTTTATGGTTTTTTTCCCACAATAAAAAAACTAACTTATAACAGTTCATAGCCAAAGTATTCATGAAGGAGCTATCATGTCTTCCTATTGTGTAATCTCTTCTCTTGAGGAATTTGTGCTTTAAATAGTCAATTGAATATTAAAGAATTTAAGAAAAGAAACAGAATCTTTGTAATATTTATAACTTCCATGCTCCTTTTTCCTTTCTGTAGGTCTGAATTTCCCTTCAGCCTGAATAATTTCCTGTAGCATTTTTTGTACTGCAAGTGTACTAGCAGCAAATTATCTCAGCTTTTAGACAGATTTTTGCCTTTACAGGTTACATTTTCCTTTTTTTCCACATCTAGTCATTTTTAATTATATATTGAACATCATAAATGAGAATGTTGTAGAGACTATAGGTGCTGTTATCTTCCTTTGAATAGTGTTGATTTTTTGTTTCAGTAGGCAGTTAAATTACTTGTGGATTACTTGTAGAGGTGTGGACTTATGTTTTGTTAGAGTTGGTTTATTTCAATTTTTCCCTAATCCTAGGGTAAATCATTTAGTACTGGGAAATTTTTGTCTCTAAGACATAATCCTTCTAAAGTTTCACTGGAAATCTTGAGATATTTACCAGGTCCGCTAAATTGGCAGGACTATAACTTCAAAGTGTCTTCTGTGGTGAGCACCAGCACAGCTTGGTTCTTTCAGTCTTCCAGCTTTTTTCCCTACTCCCCTGGACTCCTTCGATTCTTACCTGTGTGTGTTCAACTGAGGAGTCAGCTAACGATTTGTGGGAGGTCTATATGCTATTTGGGGTCTTCCTTTCATTACAATTCCCTCAATTTCTAGCTGTTCCAACAGTTCTGAGGAGTCCCAAAATCCTCAGGCTCCTCAAAGAAATGACTATGAATTTCTGCTTGAATTCATTCAAGCAATGCAGTGAGACTACAGAGTGCATTCTGGCAAAAAATGTGTAAATGTGTATTTCACCCAGAGTGACTGTGTTTTACTCACCAGGGCCTTCAAACAATTGATTTTTACATTTTGCCGACAGTTTACAATAGTGGAAAGTTATTCCAATAAAAACTACTCCATCATTATCAGAACTAGAACTCCCCTTAAGGAATTTATTATCTAATCGGATGAAGAAAACTAATATATATTAAACATATGAAAACTAATATATATTAAAATTATTATATGTTAAACAGTAAGGAAAAATTTCCAAGATTTTTGAATAGAAGCTCAGTTTTGTGAACCAAAGGACAGGATAGCCTTGAGGGCTTGAGCAGATGGGAATGACTTTCTAGAGAAAATACTCACTGAGCTGAGAGTTGAGGGTTTGGTAGGGTCTGAATGGTTTGCAGAGGTAAGAGAGGACAAGAGAGTATCTTGTCTACTTTTAGTTGGAAGTATACACTGGGTATCTTGGGCAATGAAGATGGTTAAGTAGGTTGGGACCAGTGTATGGAGGACCCAAGAGTTTAGATTTGATATTGTAAAAAAAAAAAAATGAGTCATTGAAAGGCTTTGAATGGGCGAGTCACACAATGAAAGATGAATCTGTTACAAATTTGCAAAATAGATAAAAATAGGCAAAGATTATAATCAAGTCCACTGAGAGGCCATTGCATTTATTCAGGCCTGGGTGATAAGGGTCTGCACAAGGCTCTTAGTACTTGAATAGAACGGAAGAAAATTATATGAGAGATAGAATAACAGAATGTAGAAGGTAATTGGGTATTTGGAAAAATGCAAGGGAGAGAGATTTACTCTATTTCCTCAGTAATCTGGAATTTATTCTAGTCAACCAAAATTTATTAGAGCCTGATGTGTATAAAGAGCTCCGATAGAGGGTGTGGGTATAGTTTGTGTTGATTTCTGTCTATATTGACTCTGGTTTTGGATGCTATAACTTTTAAGGACAGTGCCCTTCTCTGTTCTCTCAGAACATATCAAGTGCTTTTTAAAAGTTACGTTGTTCTTTGGGTCCTCAGTAAATTCTTCTTGACTAGAGTACTGTTATCTTTTCCATAAGAGGCACTAGTGATGTGCAGTCACTCTGGTATCAAATGAGTTAAATTACATTTTAAGCATATCTTTTCTTCCAGGTTCTCTTAAATTTTGGAAATGTATTTGAAAAAAATCTCACTTCTGCAAAGCCAGTTTTCAGACCCATATTTTATTTCAAGGCTGCAAATAGAGGGCAGATGGCCCTGATCTTGAATATGTTTCCAGAAGAAATTTTTAAAAACGACTTTTATTATAGGGATTTTCTATTGTCATTAATCACTTAATTTAAGTTTTCCTAACTTTCCCATGACCAAGCCACATAAATGATTATTTCCTTTTGTCTTTTCCCCTTGTTGTAAGTTTATGTTTTTAAAGAATATATTCGTTCTAACCTAAGTATTAATTATTTCTCAAAGTTAATTTTCACTTTTTTTTTTTTTTAATAAAAGATGACCAGTAAGAGGATCTTAACCCTTGACTTGGTGTTGTTAGCACCACGCTCTCCCAAGTGAGCGAACCGGCCATCCCTATATAGGGATCCAAACCCATGGCCTTGGTGTTATCAGCACCACACTCTCCCAAGGGAGCCACGGGCCGGCCCTAATTTTCACATATTGATTCAAAATTTACTGTTCGCCTATCAGAGACTTATGTCTATAGCAAGAGATCCTTTTAATTGTCATTTAATTTAACCTGTGTTCTCATTAAATTTTAGGTGACTGAGCTTGAATGCGTTAGTAGCCAAGCAAATGCAGTGCATACCCATAAGACAGAATTAAATCAGACAATACAAGAACTGGAAGAGACACTGAAAGAGAAGGAAGAGGTATTTGCTACTTTTCATTAATCTGTAATCTAGTTTACGTATGTATACAAAATATTAGAGTCTATGTCAAATTCAAACATATTTTACAGAATATAGTAAGGTTGTGGGCTCTTTTAGGATAAAACTTTTCTTGAGTGATATTAAGCTTATTCATGTTTTCCCCATCCTGTTCTATTTGTTATGAACTATGGTGAGGCAGTCAGATGAGATACTGCCTGTGGCCTTCTGTATGAGAATTGCATTCACACGATCAATAGGAAACCATTAGCAGTTAAGTGAATTTTACAAGCTGTTGCTTTCCAGTCAAAAGCTTTAATACTCTAGTAAAGAATTTATCCACAAAGCTTGAAGCAACCTGAAAATGTTCAGGTTTTTGTTCCTAAGCAGTGCTGTATGAAAGCCGTCAGGTTAGACTTGTTGCTTGTTGCTTAAGATTACTCTGTTCTAGGATAACATACTTGTAAAGATAAATTCATCCCTCTACAAGTCAGTATAAAGGAATGTGTTTTAAATCTTTTTCTGAGAACTGGGACAATAATTTCAGGGAAGAATAAGGCCTTCTCTTTCCTTGACACAGTTTAAATGTTGTTAAAGACATTGCTCTACCTTTTCTAGGAAATAGAAAGATTAAAACAAGAAATTGATAATGCCAGAGAACTACAAGAACAGAGAGACTCTTTGACTCAGAAACTGCAGGTGAGCTATAGTAAAGTTTTTTATTCATTTCTGCATAGAATGGCATCAATTATTTGTTCACATAGTAATGACTTTTTTTCTGAGACTCCATTTTATAGAGGTTTCAGTCATTTTTCTTTTCCTGGGCTTCTGATTCATGCCTAATCTTTAATTTTTCAAAAATTACTGGATAACTTTATCTATGTAGCTTATAATCATCATGGATGATCATTTATAAATTGCCTTTAGTGAATTATTTTGGAAATGTTTACTTTTAACTTTTAAAAAATGCCCTACATTTAAGAAAATTTCTCAAATGGATTTTATTCAATTTAGGAACTATGCTCTTTTTTTTATACTGCACTAACTAATGTATGAATTACATCAGTAGTTATGCCCTGATGGAACACAAGTTAGTTCTCCTTTTCTTTCTTCAGTCTGATTAATTTTACTCAATTTTTCCTGCATAAATAGTATGCTTTCTGATTCTAATTTATATACTATATCCTGTGTCAGTAGTAGTCCGACATGGTAAGGGAAGATTTTTCAGAATTCATTACCAAAGTGTCCTCTTGTCAGCTCAGTCACTTTTCTTACACCCACATGGTTACCTGCCTCAATAAAGAAGGATTAGAACCACTTTGGAAGTAAGTTTATGTACAGAGTCAGGAATTTGGGATAAGGCATGATAAGGGGCCAGAAAGCCCAGGATCAGAAGGAGGACCTAGATTATAGTAAGAATGGCCAACATGTATTGAGTGCTTCCTGTGTATCAGACACTCTGCTAAGCACTTTACTTACATTGTGCATTCAATCCATATAATAGTCATAATAACCCATATGAAGAAATTGAGGATTGGAAAGATTAACTTGTCTAACCTATATTTAAATGGAAACAGTGAAATTTTAAAGCCTATATCTTTGACCACCAAACTCTATGGATAATAGGGACCCTTCATAAAGAAAACAGGTTCTTTCTCTGAAATGAAATATTTCTCTCTCCCATCACTGGTTTTCAGCACTCTGAGAAAATGAGATCACTTGTTTTGGCTTGCCATATTAAATGTTTCTACATTTAATCATCTATGTAGATAAGTGGTTCTCAACCAGGGGACATTTAGCAATTCATGGAGACATTTTTTCAGGGACAGATAATCCAGTGTTTAGCGGCATCCCTGGCTTTGTCTATTAGATATCCATCCCTAAAGAACTGAGGATCCTGGGAATTGAACCATGTCAGTGCAGTCTTTTTTATGTTATTAATTATTTTCCTTGCAAATTGATGTGGATGGTCTGCTGCTGCAGGCTTCATCTTCAACATTGTTCTCGTCCCTTCTTAAAAAGAATTATCCATTTGTAAACTGCTGATGTCTTTGAACATTGTCCCCATAAACTTCTTTGTGAAGCATCAGTGATTTCGCCATTCTTCCACCCAAACTTCACCATAAATTTGATGTTTTTTCTTCAATTTTAGCAGAATTCATGTTGCTCTAATAGGGGATCTTTTCAAAGTGATGTCTTATCTTTCCTAGTGCCTCAAACTAGATTCTGTTCAGATGTGGTATAACAAGTTAGTATGAGTTCACTTTAGTGCAAAAAACTTTGCATCCATGCATAGTTTTTTTTTATAGTATGCATTTTCCATGAACCTTTTGAAGACCCCTCATAGTTTTGCCAAATTCCTCTCCAGAAGAGGTTGTGCCAATTCCCATTCCTACCAGCAGTTTAAGCTAGTGCCTGTTTTTCTACAGCCTTATCAACAAAATGTCTTATCATCCTTTTTAATTTTTGGTAGTGTGCGATAGATGAGAAATGATAGCTTTAATTTGTTTTTCTTATTATGAATAAGGTTAAATATCTGTCATAGCTTAAAGGCCATTTCTCTATCTTTTTGTATGTGTATGAATTGTCTGTTCATGTCTTATGTCCTTTTTTCTATAGGGTTTTTAGTCATTTTTTCCAAAAGTTTCAAGTTTCCTTATTAACTGTGATGATGTTACAAATTATTTCTCGCTTTTGACTTCACCTAAGATGTTTTATGTAGCCATATATATCATTCTTTTTCTATTACTGCTTCTGTGAACCTTAGTTAGAATGCTCTTTTCTACCTACAAGTTATTTAAGTATCTATCTATATTTCCCTCTAGTAGTTATATGGCTTCATTTTTTACATGTAGGTCTCTGATCCATTTGGGGTTTATTCTTCTATGTGTGGCATGACATATGAATCCGATTTTATTTTTTTCCAAGTGTCTATCCTGCTATCTCATTATCATTTACTTAAAGCTTTATCCTTTTTTCCCAATGATTTGAGATATCCCATTTCCATATGTATTTTGGCCAATTTCTGGACTTCCAGTTCAGTTCCACTGGTCACTATATCTGTTTATGCACCAGCTCCACACTGCTTTAATTATAGAGGCTTTACAATACGTTTTAATATTTGGTAGGACTAGTCACTCCTCAGAGCTTTTCTTTTTCATTGTTTTTTCATTCTTGCAGGTTTATTTTTCCATATAAACTTTAATATTTACTATAGTACCAGTTTTAGTGTCATCTAAAAATTTAGCTCTGCAAAAAATTGTTACTGGGATTGCTTAGAATTTATAGTATAACTTTAGGAGAACTAATATCTTTATTAGGTTTTCATCCTATCCGAGAACAAGGGATATCTTCCCATTTGTTTGCATCTACTTTAGTGTTTTTCAGGAGTGTTTTAGGGTTTTCATCATGTGGGTTTTGCATATTTCTAATTGTTTATTTGTTTTTATATTTTTTGGTGTTTGGGGAAGAGGGAGGCAGCTGGCCGGTTCGGCGTCCAAACTCATGACCTTGGTGTTATAAGGCTGTGCTCTAACCAACTGGGCTAACCAGCCAGCCTCTAACTGTTTATTTTTCTGTATTTTGTCTTGTTTTTTTTTTTTTTTTTTTTTTTTTTTTTTCTATTGCAAATGAGATTTTCTCTACCAGTATATTCTGTAATTGGATATTGTTTGTATATATGAAAGCTGTTGAATTTTTATGCTAATTTTATATCCTGCTACCTTACTCAATTACTTTATTGTTTAAGTTTTATCATTTATTCTATTAATTCTCTAGGGTTTTCTAGGTAAAATAACATATAACCTGCAAATAGAGGGAACTTTACATTTTTGTTTTCTGTTCTTAGGCCTCTTTTGATTTTTCTCAACAAATTGCATCAGTTAAAAACACCACTACAGTAGTGGAGATAATGGGCATACTTTGTTCCTGATCTTAGTAGAAATGCCTCTAGTATATCTATATCATTAAATGAAATGCTGGTTTTAACACTAAGGTATATTTATTTTATCATGTTATGAGAATGTTCTTCATTCCTATTTTCTTGAGTGTTTTTAACCTCAAATGAGTGTTGAGTTTTGTTAATGGCTTTTAAAATATCCATAGAGATAATCATAATTTTTTCTTGGGGTGGTTTACAAATTCTTGGTTCAAAAACACCCTCTTTTGGGGAGACAGGAGATAGGTTGCGTGTCCTTTAATATTTTAATTGTCTTTTGTCTGACAAAATCTTAAATTTCCCTGTCTTGCTTCTTTTTCCCTTTAACCATTCTTTTTCCAAAAGGTTCTAACCCTCTTTCTTTTCCTTTCTCGTCCTCGGAAATGTTTGTTGCCTTTCCAAGTCTGCCTCCTCAAGTTTCATGTATACTAAGTCCCTTTTTTGTAATGTGCTCTTGTGTACCATGACATTTTTTTCAGTATTTTGCCACTCAGTCGTCTTTGTCTTTCTCAGAGTTATGATAGTTCAATCTTAGGGCTTTTATTCATCTATTTACTCTTCTGTACACTGCCCCCACAACCCTGCTCTCCCCCTGCAATGGATTAGAATGAAAGCTTGAGAAATATCTCTGCCGGAAATTGGTGCTTATATTTTCTAAATACAGGTAATTTGACATTTGTGCTGTTCTCTGTCTTCCGGTTACATTGAAGTCATGGAATTTGTGTGGTTTTATTCTATAGTTTTGGGAGGTTGGTTGGTAGATTTTAATGTACACAGTCACTATTACTTTGGCTACCCAAAAATCTATTCTGTTTACTTCTTTATGGCCTTCCAGAATCCATGCTTCATTAAAACAGGAACTATCTTTGTTTTATTTACTGTTTTATCCCCAATGCCTAGGACATAGAAGATGTTCAGTAACTAATTGTTGGATAACTGTCCTTCAAAATGTGTGTCTTTTACCCATTTCTGTTGAATTATTAATACTTGGTCTTGATGATTTATATGTCCTGTCTCATATGAAGGCTAACAATCTAACAAGGCAATAATGTATCATACTCATAAGAGTTTAGGATATGAATTAAATACCAATAAAGATAATTTTTCTGTAGCTTTTATTTAGATTAAATGATGTAGGTTTTAAATTTATGGAAAATTAAGCTGATCTGGTCCCATTGGTAGTGGTCATAATCATTGAATTTTATTTTAATCACTCATGGAGCCTAAAACACTAACAAATGAGGAGCATGACCTTCTACCTAGTAGGATTTTATACTTTCAGTTTTTGCCCTTTTAAGCACTCAGAGGGGAGTTACCAATTCTGGTGTCAGTGCTTTATCAGGGCTGAACCATGCCTGTCTCTGTAGAGGAAAAGAGGAAAATATAGGGCAAAATGAATAGTGAGCAGAAGAATGAGATTGGAGGGAGAATGAAAGGCAAGTAGAAGGTTGGAAAATAAAGACCAAAGGCAGACAACTGGCAAGTGCCACTAACCACGGCTTTAGTTACATCTTCTTATCCCTGTGCACTGGGTTGTCTATTCTTGCTCTAAAACATACTCTGCCTAAATATAGACTAGCACCATCAGCATTGTGTTAGATCCCTTTTGTTACCTAGTTAGTAAAATTCCTGCAAACAGATGATTTAGAGTAGGAGACTCATTCTAGAGGGAACAACACAATTTTCATAGCAGAGGGAATTTTGTGTTTAGCCTGCTTCCATTCAGAATGTTTGGATGTTTCATTGATTGGCAAGGAGAACAAGGGAGCCTTTCATTTTTAAGGAAGCCTTTAGAGGCAAACTGGGTATTGCCTAATGAAGTGGGTGTTTGCTAGTGAATGACATTTGGTCTATTTTTATAGTTGGTAACATTCTTTCCTTAAGCTAATTGTTTAAGCCACAAGAGAGCATACTGTGCAATCATGAGTGGAATTTTTACAGTTGATCACAAGATCCGCTTCCTCCCTCATAGTTTACAGCCTCCCTGAATTTGGCTTCTGAATTTATAAATATTTTATTAGTTTCAGATTCTGTTCTCAGTTTACTTATCTTCACCTTGCAGATTATTCAAAGGAAAGAGACTAGAAACATAACTGGTTAACATCATCTAACAGTGAATACTTACAGATTAGAATGAGATTCCTTAAAGTCTTCTGTAAATCATTATACCTGCTTTATTCCCTTCTTATATTTCCCCAGACTCTTGCAACTCATTGGTAGCATCCTTGCTTGAGCCTTGCCTTGCTCTTAGTTATCTATGTCAAAGCATGTGATTATGTTCCAAATCCTAAATCAGTTGCTACTTTTTCTTTCTTTCGTGTGTGTGTGTGTGTGTGTGTGTGTGTGTCTGACCAGCACCAATTGTTGCTTTCTTAATGTGTTCAATCCAATTTCCCAATTTTTTTTTTTTTGAAAGTTTAATTTTTACAGTTATTTTAGTAGTGAGAAAAATAAATTTGGGGGAAAAAGTGCCCATAATCCCAGCACCAGAACTATTTCCTATTTCCTATTTGTACATTAATTCCCAGAGTTTGTCCTCATGCATACAAATTTTTGTCCAGTGCAATGAGCTGCTGCTTATTCTGTTCTTTTCATTTAACATTTACCAGATTGTCTTTCAATAATATCATTTTAAAAATTTTGATCATCTTGTAGACTTGATAGAATTTCTTTAGAGATTTACATTTAAATGATGTGTTAATATTTGAAACATCTTATCTTCTGAGGATGAGTCATATTGTGCAACTAACACCAAAATGTTTTCATTGTCCCCTGTAATTTATGTATATGTATATAGTTTGTATCAGTAAATTAATTCCTCTCAGATGTAAAAGTGACCTTTCCAGAAAGGATATATTACTTTCAATTCGTCACTTTTCTGAATAGTTTATTTAAAGTGTGATAGTTGGCTTTCTGCCATTTTTCCCAATTTGATTTAACAAAATCAAATCATTAGCTCAGCTTATGTCCTTTTATTTTTTAGACTCATTTTCTTATATTTGTCTTGCTTAGAAACATTTTTAAAAGCAATAATAACTTCTAAATAATTTTTAAGTATGCCAGAGTCTATCCTGTGTCAAAAATCTTTTTGTAACTTTTTTTTTGTGGTCATGAACTTTTTTTCCCCCAAATATTGTTTTTTTTTTTTACAACTATATTTTTTTTTTTTTTTTTTTTTTGTCCTTTTTGAGACTGGCCGCCCCACGCTCAGCCAGTGAGCGCTGTGAGCACACCGGTCATCCCTATATAGGATCCGAACCTGCGGCGGGAGCGCTGCTGCACTCTCCCGAGTGCGCCACGGGCTCGGCCCGCAACTATCTTTTTTTTAAATTTAATGTTTAGATAGAAAATTATTTTCTCAACATAGAAACAAAGGAAAACATCACACATTAATTTTAAAGTCAATTGATAAGTAACAAATTTAACACACAAAGATTAACATCCTTAATGCAAAACGAGCTCTTAAAAATGAATTAGAAAAATCTAAGCAGAAATTTGGTGAAGGACATGAGCAGATAAGTCACACACCCCAAAGAAACACACGTGGCTCATGAGTACATTCTAAGATATTGCGGGGGTGAAGGACAGGGCTGGTGACCCCCTTATCAGGACCCCAGGGTGCAGCTGGCTGGCTCCATTGCTGGCCTTGTTGCAGTCAGGGGGCAGGGGTAAGGCCCACGGCCCCTGTCTCAGGACCTCAGTTTGGGGGGGGGTAGCGGTCTGGCTCCATTGATGGCCTGGTTGTGGTTGAGGGATTGAGGCTAAGGTCCACTGCCGGTCATAAACTTTCGGTTCCTTTTGTCATTTTTTTCTTTCCTTGGTTTATTGTATATTAGAACTGTTAACTTTATGCTTTTTTAATATGTACAGTTATTACATATCTTCACTATAGTTTTGAGCAGTTGAGCTATATTCTCTACACATGCATTCATTTGATATTGAGGCAGAACTAAAAATTACATATTCAGAGGACTCTAAAATCTCATTTTAGAGAGTTGCTTTCTTCTCTAAATCTTTCTCCAGAGTTGCCAGTACGAAGAAAAAGTTAATTTCTCTCTTTTTCTCGGCCTGCTTTCACCTGAGATTGCTCAAACAGTTGTGCGTTAGGAAGAGTAGGTGGGCATCAATAAAAGTGAGATGTAAATAATCTACAAAGTGAGTGCCTGGAGTGCTGCCTGGCACAAAGTAATCAGTCAGTAAATTTTTGCTGAGTTGATAGATAGATTCACAAACACACATTCAAAAAAATCACATGGGGCTGGCCCGGTGGCGCACTGCTACAGTGCGCCGCTTGGGAGCGCGGTGGCGTTCCCGCCGAGGGTTCGGATCCCACATACAGACCGGTTCCCGCTCACTGGCTGAGCGAGGTGTGGGAGCAACACCGAGGGTTGCAATCCCGTAGCCGGTCCCGGTCCGGTACGGGCGCGACACTGAGGGTTGCGATCCGTTGCCGGACACGAAAAAAGACAAAAAGGAAAAAAAAAAAATCACATGGATCTCTGAGATGGTCAAATCTGAAATGTCCTTAAATTGTGTTGAGATTCAGAAGCTCATCCTGATTGTCAAACTGCCTTGATTACCACAATATTAGTAATAACAGAAAGTTGTATTGTTTTCTAAGTGATGAATTAACATATAAATATATATATATATATATATTACACTTTTCTTTCTGAAGGAAGTAGAAATTCGGAACAAAGACCTGGAGGGACAACTGTCTGACTTAGAGCAACGTCTGGAGAAAAGTCAGAATGAACAAGAAGCTTTTCGCAATAACCTGAAGACACTCTTAGAAATTTTGGATGGAAAAATATTTGAACTAACAGAATTACGAGATAACTTGGCCAAACTACTAGAATGCAGCTAAGGAAAGTGAAATTTCAGTGCCAATTGATTAAAAGATATACTGTCTTTCTTCATAGTACTGTTTGGGCTCTGCATCAAGATTGCACAAAAAAAATTGAATATCACTCCTCCACGAGGAGGATCTTTTGAAAATTGGAATTGTATATTTCAGTATAAATTTTAGAATTCAGCTTGTAACTAGTTGGGGAAAAAAGAGATGAAAAACTTGAACTACAAATTACCTCCATGTATATTATTGGCCATAGTTAACTAGAAAGTTATAAATAGACACTTGATGCAATCTTTTTTTTTTTTTTTCTGATATTAGCCAATGGGAGAATTAACAGTGTCTGGGTCAAATCCCCTTTTTGTGTTCAACACAGTGAAGATTATCTGCTTTAAAATTAATTTATTTATGATATCTAGAGCTGTGTTTTGTGCAAAAACTTAGTGATGAAAGCCCTGTCTTTTGTTTTAATCTGAATAATTTCTCAGGATATTTTTGCACTGCTAAGAAGCAGTGTCATTACCAATTAATTCTTGCCAGGCGTGAGAGAGAGCTGCATCTTTAATTGAAACATACTATAACCGGGTGTATAGAGTTCTTCCCTTTTTTGTACTGGGATATATTTCACTCTGGTGACTACTCTGGTACACTCTGGTGTTCTCTAATCTTGTCCGTTGTATAGTTTACTTTTCCATATTGATTCCATGTATTTATGAGAAGATATTGTCTCCCATTTTATTACACATTTTAAAGCCAACTAATGAAGGCAGCTGAGTCCCTCAGAAATTTTTCTTTTTAAATTTCTAATAAATTTGACACAGAGTACTGAAATATCACAGCCCGTCATTGACGGTCTGGTCTAGCAATGTTAAGTATATTTACAGAATATGCAGTTACATTTATTTATATATTTTGCAAGAAATCTTTTCTGAATGATCAATGCATTTCAATTTATGAATAATAATGGTTATTGGGAAACTGTTTATTATAGATAATTTTAAGGTGTATAGCTATTTTAAAGGGGATCCATTTACATCAAATAGCCGATCAGAGGACTGTATCTAAATTATGATCATGGCAGATGGAGATGGGGTCATGTACTCTGTCTGGGTCTTCACATCAACCACATCTTTATTCAAACCTCACAAGGCAATATTCTGAACTGTTAACTAGGCATTTCAAAACAGAAATTAAATTCAGTAGGCTCTTCTCAGTGAACAGGTTTTAATGTTGTTTTGATGTAATTTTAAAGACTTTTAGCAAACATGCATTTCTTTATATGATATATTTCTTTTACAAAGCTAATTTAAAAGTAAGCCAAGTGCTGTCTAGTCTGTTTATGGAATAGGAATTGCATCAGAGTACATATAATTCTTGCTGTACAATGCTTGTGATGTTGAGGAGGGTTCTTTTTTAAAGTGTATGCTTGAGTATCTGACTCTCTGGAGTCTATAAATGCACTGACTTTTGTTTGTACCCCAAAATGATTGAATTGTTAAGTATAAAATTAAGCTAATTAATCAATTTGTAACCATTTTTTCACTCATAAACAGTTACTCAACACTAGACAATTTTGTTTTATATATATGTATGTAAATACATACATATTAATTTATATTAGAGTGAAAAATAAATGGTTTGTTTCTAAATTTAGTTTCTAAAGTTAGTTTTCAGGTGTCTTCAAATCAGACACTTAATCATCATGTATTATATGTGCTATAACATCATGTAAGTTACCTCCATTTATTTTAGGATATTTTCCTATTTGTTATAGGGGGAATAATTTAGGTACACATGCTCAGAGCTGAGATATTTCTCTGATAAATCAGGTAATAAAATTTAATTGATTGATGGAATTTTGAAGTAGATGTGATTTTTATCCATCAGTTTCTGAGTAACAGAGCACCAGGTTTAAATTTAAATAGGGGATTTAACACTAGGGATCAGGAGATTTAGTTATGAAGAGTTAAAAAAAGTTTTTAAAAAAACTATAAGCTGTTGAAATGGTAAGTGAATTATTTTAATGATATAAAATATTTTTAAATTTTGACATAGTGGTCATTTAATGGGAAAATAACTCACAAAAATGTCTCCACTTGAATTGTATTGATAATGTGAGACATATGTGTTATACAATATATACATATAATCATATGTATATACAGAAAATTATTTTTAATATTTTCGTACTGATATGAAATTTAAAATTGGAAATTTTGTGAGTGTTTTCCTTGTCCAATAGAACCTGTTTCTTTTTTAGTGATTTAACAATTTCTTGAGGGCTGCACCTTTAAATTCCCAGATTGTCAATAGACATGTACAGTATATGGGATAAGGTGGACACAAGTGCACATATAAATAAAATCTTCTTATTAAGACTATTTTAAGCATTCATTTACAGTAGGAGAGTATCTAGCAATCATCATTGGCAAGTCATAATTAGGTTGTGTGCCTACTGTAGTTTTTTTCCATTTCTGTATTATATGAACATTTGCATATTAAAATTTGGTTTTTCCCAGAGATAAGTATTATATAATGTATCTATATCTAAATCAAACTGTGGTAATATATTTATCAGAAAATAATGTTGGGGACTATAGCCTGAACATGGGGACTTCAAGTGACACAGAGGAGGAGAGCAGAGATTGATCCCATTGTGTATAAGTTATTATATGATAACTATGAATTCTTGTACAAAACCAAAACCTGAAAAAAAACAAAAACAAAAATACAGTTTTTATTTTCAAATACATTTGTTGTTCTCTGGAGAATGTACTTTATCTTTTTTTCCTTCAGTCTTTTACAGATATTTGAAAGCATTTAAGTGATGACAGCATTTACTTAAATCTTACAGGTGCTACTGGATTTTGCATTAGTGTGTTATGTTGTGAAATCCTAACTTTGACATAAAAGGTTTTATAAGTATTTCCCTGCCTGGAAAATTAGTTTTTGTTCTCCTCTCTCTTTCTCTCTCTCTGTCTGTCTTTTTTCTCTCCCTTTCTTTCTGCAGACTAAAAAAGTTCACAAAGTTGCATCCCTCCTTGTCCCCGTGGAAGATCTCCACCACCATCATAGACTTGATGTTTTGACGTCATTGAAATGTTGAGAAGCAGTTAGAGGACATACTGTTTTAAAACATTATACTTTTTTCAGGTGGAACCGAAAAAGACACTCAAAGTTAAAATGACACCACCACCTTTTAAAACTCATTTCTTAGCCCTGTTAAAATTATATTTATTCTTTAACATGTGTACTACAGTCTTTCATATTTTTATTTAACTAGAGAGTATGCACTTCAGCTACTGTCTCCTGGCAGTACTGATTTTCTGTCATTGCTGGACTGGAGGCAGTCCATGGGCAAAGCAGTCTGTTTAGTGGCAGTGGTTTATTTTTAATCCTTTTATTCATTTGATATCCTATGATTTTAACACCCTGAAATTCTGTGCTTGAAGTCATGAAATAGTCTTCATTGAATTTTTGTCTCCTTAATGTATAGCACTGTTCTTTTATCATTCATGAGGTGAATTAATTTATAGAAAATCTTAAAGAAGAAAACTTTCAGGTAAGAAGTATTTGAGATTGACACATTTTTTAAAAATTTCTCAAGTAGGGCACTATGCTATACCTTTAGTAGGAATAAGTATTTGTTGAGAAGATAATTTTTATGTGAAAGAATATTTTAGAAATTATGCAAAGAGGTCTATTTTAGAATAGAAACAGATGTATCATTCACCTCACTCTAAATTGTGAAAGTGTATTTTTTCCTAATATTCATTGGACTTTAAATTTTTTATGACAGTTTTTCTCTATGGGAAACTGATATATGGATGCCACACAAATGTAAGCATAGTTATTGAATTAAAGAAATGAATATTTTGGGGCCGGCCCGGTGGTGCACGTGGGAGCGCGGTGGTGCTCCCGCCGAGGGTTCGGATCCCATATAGAGACCGGTCCACTCACTGGTTGAGCGCGGTGCGGGCGCGACACTGAGGGTTGCGATCCCGTTGCCGGTCACGGTACGGGCGCGACACGAAGGGTTGCGATCCCATTACCGGTCATGAAAAAAGACAAAAAAGGAAAAAAAAAAAAAGAAATGAATATTTTGCAATTTTTTAAATATATTACCTAGTAAAATAGCTAACAATTTAATCCAAGAAAACTCAAAAACTCAGTCAGCACTACACTGCCTAGTGATCTCTGCTTGGTGCACTAGATAGAAAAAACACATTTTACGTCATTTTCACAAAAAAACATATGACCCAGGAAGAGAAATTGCATCTTAGCTAGAATAGAGAGAAGGCCACAAAAGCATATCAGGATAGCTGGAGACATGTAGTGCTCCCCCAGCTGTCTCCTACCTTGCTGCTGCTTTTTACTAAAGGAATTGAGATTGCCCTAGTGAATTTCAGAGACTTTCAGAAGACCCTGTCGCTTGTCTTATCAAGATTTGTAACCTAATATGAAACTCACCATTCTGTGGAATTCAGACCTACTTTTGTCAGTTGTTTTTATGTCAGATATACCAGGGATAGAAATATTACTCTCTCCTAGTAACACCAAATGAAGGGGATGGGAGCCTAATAAGTACAAAAGGAAGTCCATTTCTATAGCACAGAAAAATATCTTTTGTGATTTTTTTTTCTATCAACATTCATGATTTTTTCTTGTTATCTTTGTATTGTAACTATCTTACTATATATACAGATATATAGTAAGTCATATCCATATGACTTGTGGATATGTTCTACCTTACTTTTTACGTGGGATGATTATATCAAGAAAGCATGGCTAGAAGGCAGATGTGCTTGAAGTGAATGCTTTCTTTACAACTTTAATATGAAATGGAACAGCAAAGAGTGTTGAATATCTGCTGTGTGACAGGCACTGTACTAATCACTTGACATTTTATTTCCACATATAGCAGCCCTTCCAGAGGTGTTTCTTTGGGATGGGAGGGGGACAAGGAAGGGGATAGGCTCAAATGATTGCACCTGATATGTTCCCACAGTTACCGGTCTGATCATCCAGTACACCAGTCAAAAGATGGAGGTCTTGCTCACCTTTCTGGTACAGTTTTTCCCTCTAGCTTGTCTGCCTTGCCTCTCTAGAATACCTCTGTTAGGGCACTTCTTAACTACATATTTTATGTTTGCTCTTCTTAAACTTCTTCCTTCAGCCTTCTTTGGTGTTTACAATGCTTGTTATCATAAGTTATAAATCATACTTTCTTTGCATGTGTCATTTATGCGATGTTTTAGTCCCAATTTTTTTTAAACTTGCAAATTAAACCCAACAAAATCCAATAAAAGTAAGTAAGTCTTCATATGCAAAGTTTCAATCTATAAAATTTGTAGCAAGCTATTTGTAAAGACCTTGAGGAATGTAACCCATCTCTTCAATTCCCTAGTAAACAAGTTATAAACTGTAAAACTCATCCCCCAACACTAAACACATGGATAGGATGTGGGTTTTTGCAGTCAGTATTGAGTGACTTTGTGATCAATTCTGGTTCCACAGAAGTTAAGCCTTCTCCAGGTTGATCAAACTATTAGGCTCTAGGATCTTTAGATGGATGATACTAGAGATCAGGGTGAAAACCCTTTGTTTAGTTCCCAATCAGAGTAGACATTCAGTGAATAATTATTAGAGCACCTGCATTGTGCTGGGCTGGGGATAAGGGATATCATGTATCCCTACAGGACTGGGTTGTTTTTTCTTTCATGTATCAAATTGCCAACCATTTCTCATCATGATAAAATATACATAACATAAAATTTACCATTTTAACCACTTTTTAAGAGTATAGTTCAGTGGCATTAAATACATTCACAGTGTCATGGAACCATCACCATTATCCATTTCCAGAACTTTAAATCACCTAAACAGAAATTTTGTGCCCATTTAACAGTAATTTCCCATTCCTTCCCCCAGCCCCTGGTAAACTTTATTATACTTTATGCCTCTATGAATTTGCCTGTTCTAGGTACGTCATATAAGTGGAATCATACAGTATTTGTCTTTTTGTATCTGGCTTGTTTTATTTAGCATAATATTTTCAAGGTTCATCCACGTGGCATGTATCAGAATTCCATTCCTTTTCAAGGCTGTATAATGCTCAGCTGTATGGATATACCATAGTTTGTTTGTCCATTCATCTGTTGAAGGAGACTTGGGTTGTTTCCACTGTTTGGCTTTTGTGAATAATGCTGCTGTGAACATTTGCATACAAGTATCTGTTGGAGTCCCTGTTTGGGTACATACCTAGGCATGGAATTGCTGGATCATATGGTAATTCTATGTTTAACTTTTTGAGGAACCACCAAAAGATCGGATTTGAATTAGGTAAACTTAAAATAGAAGTGCCAGCTCACTGGAAAATCACATCTCAGCTTAGTGTTTTGTTAATAGACCTGTGCGTGATCCATTGTCCTCTGAGTCATGCCTTTTATTCACTCTTTTCCTAAAACATTTCTTTTCTTTTTTTCTTTTTTTTTTGTCTTTTTCCGTGTCCGGCAACGGATCGCAACCCTCAGTGTTGCCCCCGTACCGGACCGGGGACCGGCAACGGGATTGCAACCCTCGGCGTTGCCCCCGCGCCTCGCTCAGCCAGCGAGCGGGAACTGGTCTGTATGTGGGATCCGAACCCTCGGGCGGGAGCGCCGCCGCACTTCCCAAGCGGCGCACTTATCCAGTGCGCCACCGGGCCGGCCCCTAAAACATTTCTTGAGCACCTGCTATGTCCCAAGCCCCACTTTGGAGTAGAGACTATAGAGGGAAGCTCACAATTTAGTGCAGGACACAGACAGTTACTTCACAGCACATACGTGCTGTGATAAAGGAGAACACTGGCATGGGGCAGCCCAGCGGGAAGAGGGCTTGGGAAGTCTCTCCCAGAGATGATAATCTGCCTGAGTCCTGATAGAGGAGCAGGAGCTAGCTAGTTGAAGAAGGGGTGAAAGAGGATTGCAGGGAGTATGTCATGTGCAAAGTGTCAGTGGGCTGAAAGCAGTGGGACGTCCAGACAATGAGAATGGGTCAGTACAACTGAAGCATAGGATGTTAAGGAAAGGCATGGCAAAAGAAGTGATACAATCAAAAATATATTTTCTAAGTCCAGGCAGCTGTGCAAATCACAGTAATCCATGTTGAGAGGCTGTGATATGGCAGTGGCAATGGGAACAGAAAAGATCAAATGGATTCACACATATGGGAGGTAGAATCAATAGGACTTCTTGACGAATTTAAATAACAAGGAAAAGAGCAGAATGCAGGATGACTCCTAGATCTCTTGAGTTGGACAACCTGGTGATCATTCCCTTTTACTGAGATAGAGAATTCAAGAGCAAATAGAAGCTTAGTTTTGGTGGAGGCAGGGACAAAGGAAGATGAATGATGAGCTAGTTCCATTTTGAGTGGAGCTGCAGATCTAGGTGCAGGACAAGAGCTTGTGAAAGAGAGATTGCCGAAAGGGATGGGCAGACAGTCCAAGTGGAGACTGCTGGAAGCCTTGAGTGGAGTTTCAGAAAGCCAGATTTCACACAAAAATCAACAAATCAACTCATGTCTAAAGGTAATTGTCTTCAAACTGTTCTGTTGAGATCCTTCATTAATATTTGATTTTTCAAAATATTTTTACTTGAAATTAAACACCAGCAAACTCAAATATACTGGTTATAACATTTTAAAACCTTGAAACCCAGCAAACATTAGTGCCAGGTTATTTTCTCTGTGCAGATGCCAGAGTAAGGCCATCTCTGGTCAATTGAAGAGCTTTCTGGTGTTTCAAGTGAGCTGTTAAAGAACTGCAGCCATTTCTCAGTGTGAATCAGGACTTTCTCAGTGCTGTGCAATGAAATAAAATACTGTGCAGAAATAGGGTCTGTATAAGTTCTGTTTTCTGTGAATCCAGTTTCAAATGTTTATGA